TTCAGAGGCAAAAGCTCTCGGAAAACCAACCACAAACCTGCCCGGCACCAAACACACAGACAAAGTTAGCAGCTAGCGAGCAAACATTGTGGCTCCAAATGATGTTGGCAGCTTGTTTCTGCTGCCTCCAAGTGGCTGAAACATCTGTAAAATCAGGTTCAAATCAATGGGAATGGTGCTTGTTTGCATATTGTGCTGAAATATTATATTTCACATTTGCCAACAATCAAATACGTTCCAGTGGCTCCTCTGTGTGAATAAAGGGAAACTGAGTGGTTCTTTTTGTTGGAACCTTCCACTCCTTAAGGCTTACTGGCCCGAGTGACAGTCAGGGACAGATATAGTTCTTGCAATCCAGCCACAAACAAAGAGAACAGATCAGTTCTTTTGAATGACTCAGCAAAAGAACCCAGCAATAAGCTCCAGTCACCTTTAAAGAGCCGTTATTCCCACTATTATTATGAGCCGTGAGTGACTTTATCTTCACGCCGTCACTGCTGCTTCACTCAGGAGCTCAACACTGTGGTTAAATCTGTACTTGAATGAAAGATGTCAATTCCATCTCTTCTAGAGGTCAGGCTCTTCAAACACAGGACAATACTCCAGAACCACGTGAGATGTGGATCCACGTGGACTTCAGAAAGACGCTGGGCTGATTTCATAGAAATAGGTTTTATGAGCAATTACAGGAATCGCTGAATCCATTTGTATGTTGATGAAATCTGCTGACTCGATGCTGTAAGTCGTGCTTACTCCATTGATTCTGGGCCTTTTGTTACAAATGCATTCACTCTGGGTTTGTTTCTTCTAACTCTCCCTCTGTCTGCCACATAATGACCTTAAGGAGGAATTTCCCTCCGCCCATCCTTTACCAATCAATGCCACTCCATGCGCTCTGTGGTCCGGTGACACTTCTTATTGTAAAGCTCTGCAATCACTCTGCATCTGATAAGCAGCACAACCACCAGAACACCAGCCCTTTGTCCCAAGAGCTGAAGATTCATTATCAGCAGGTGAAAATCTGTTTCTCACAGGACATTCCAGCTCTCAAAACCGCATTTAGTCAATTACATCCTCATCCTGACCCTCTTTCCTTCTCTCCGATGCACACTTGTACCAGACACGTTCGCCCGTTATGTAAGAACCCTCCTCTTTTCATCTCCACAAAACATTCCACGCATTGGCAGAGCCGTTCATCTGCCTCATCTCAATCACACCTTCTCTCCAACAAGCGGCCGACGCTGCGTGCGTGGACTTCCTGGCTCATCCCCACACGGAGCAAAAAATAACATTTTAATTGCATTTTAAGAATAAAATAAATAAAAGTGTGCCGAGGTAGGAAAAAAAGAAAGCGATTAGAGCGGGAGCTCAGTGCAAATATAGGCGCCTACTGTGGTTGAAAGCGTGATAATTAGACATTCCTTTCTGTGTGTGCCAGCTACACAGATTCAGTAATGTGCACTGTGCAGCTCATCCGTGAAGCTTATGTCCATGGAACGAAGCAACTCACCGGCTAAATTTAACTTGTTTTTATAAACATAAGCAACCTCAAGTCGAACACCGTTTCCCCGGCTGCCAAAAACATAGATTTAGCATGTGTGCAATGTGCACTGGTGGAAAGTATAGAGGCATCAAAACATGAGTCTACTCCCCTCTATCCTCATTGTGCTAGTAAATAATATTTTGGCCTGTATTTACATTTAACTGTTGAGCACGGAGCTGATTTACATCCTGTTTATTTCACTGTCAAAGGAAACAGTGAGGTTTGTCAGGTTTTCACCACAGGGGGCGACGTACATCACTTTTAAACACAACTGCAACAAATCTAACGACCGACTGAATTCATCTGTGAGCGACACATAATCTGATGATCGACACTTAACATAGCAATAGGTAATATTCACGCATAATCACTGGCCACGTGCAACAAACAAATCCCTGCACACTGTATAATATCTGCATCCCTAATGTAATATCGATAGTTAGGACGTAGCCACAGGTCTGACCTCGGTAAACCTCGAAGAAATTGAAAAAACCCATCAAAGAACTGTTTAGTCACAGTGCATCCAAACCTCATCCATCAACAGCGGCACGTCAACGAGGATGACGACTGGGAATGGAACGCAACAAGTCTGAGCAACTTCTGGGAAGTGGCATGGAGAAGAGAGCGACCAGAGTAGACAGGGAGCGAGGCGGGAAACTAAGGAAGTGCTTCTCGGTTCGAATCCCAGTTCAAAACTCTGGTTTCCTCCCACAGTCCAAAGAGGTTGATGAGAGACTCTTAACGGGCCGTAGGTGTGAATCTCTTTATGTCGACCCTGTGATACTCTAGTCTAATCTGTCCATCATGTACCCCCCCCCCCCTTCTGCCCAATGTCAGCTGGGATTGGCTCCAGCCCCCAGGTGCATGGATGGATGGATGAATATGGCAGTTTCATGAAGAGCTCACTAGTATCCAGCACTTTTTAAGATCTTGATATTTTTCTGTAATGTAAAAAAGTCATTAAAGTGCTCTCTCACTAACCGGCCTCAGTTCTTGAAATAAAACTGAAGATGTTAAGTTGTAGTAAATTTGATACAGTGAAAGTGACAGATGAATCTAAATAGAGCACTGTTTAACTTGTTGTAATTGTTCTCCCATTTGTACACGATGATTACATTTTCTATCACAAGGATTATAATGGGATTATTCAGTGTGTGTGTATATATATATATATATATATATATATATATATATATATACTCCACAGTTTCTTTGCAACTAATAACTGTTGGTTCACAAACATAAAGAAGTAGTTCTTCACTCTGGCTGTGGTATAAAAGGTTTAGAGATTGTGTTGAGTGATTTATGAAACCAGAAGGTTTTCTCGTGGCCGCACAAATTGTGTTTTCTATAGAAACATAATAGGCTGTCACAAAGCTTTATCTACAGCTAAACAAATGACTCTCGTGTAAAGCCTCTGGTTCAGGTATTGGACCCGATGATGAAGTATCCACCAAAAATGAACATTTACTGAAAAAGCACCAGGTGGAAATTCTATCTGTGGTCACGTTGATTGTGATTATATCACTGTTGCTGCTCCCCAGCAAAAACAACAACAGCAGTGCAAGTCTGAAGCAAGACGAACTTTCTGGATTCCAGACAGAAGCAAGAAGCAAATCTGTGTCTCCTCTCGTTGGCAAGACACCAAATCAAATGCAAGTTGGAGCCGGGAATGAATGTGCAAGAACAAAACCAGAAACTAGAGGCAGCATGACTCTCTTTTTGTTTACCTGCCATCTCCTCAAACAAAACCAATTACTGCCAGAGACTTAATCAAGGTCAAGGAACCGCACTCATTCATCCACTGCACAGCACAAAGCCACATGACAACACTCTGCACAGATGTGGCTTCAACATATAATCTGTTTCACCATCCAACCCTCATACACATCATAATTCTTCTCTGTTCCAATGCAAAAAAAACCCCCTCCTTCTCTTGAAATTTAGAATTAAACCATCATCCCACTGCACTGATTCATCATGACACATATAATAGGTGGAGCAAACATGCGTTTCTGGCTCCTCTTTTCATTCCCACACGCAAATAAGACGACTGAATTGTAATTTTCATCCAGATTCTTTAAGAAAATGGAGAATGCATTCCACGAGTGTGGCGTAAATCGAAAATGTGGCTTTTACCTCTGAGTTTTGTGCAACAGAATCACTGCACGCAATTTACAGAATGGTTTTGGGGGATCAACTCTGTGCGTAAAACCTCTCCAACTATAAGACGCACAGCCACACAGTCCACCAACCTGCAATCTCTGGTCTGTTCTGTTGCGTTGCGCTTTTACGCACGTAGTCTGTGGCTGCGACGCAAATTCAGCTCTCGTTCTTAGGTCTCCAGATCTTAAGGTACATTTGATTGCATCACTTGGTTGTTTTCTTGGCATGTATTTTTTTTTCTGTTCGCTGAAATCAAGCACGATTGATCGAAATGAGGAGACAAGAGAGGGAAGTGCCTCTGGGCAAATGCAGACTCGCACAGATCTGCAGCGTCTCCATCACCAAACGAACCAGTATACATCAGGGGTGTCAACACAGACGAAGGGAGTTTGATTCCGTAGTGATTCTGAGAAACTAAACCAGTTGCCATTACATGAAGGCAGGGGTGCAACGACGTGAAGGACGCTTTTATCCAAAGCGCACGAGTGGGTGCCACGGGTGCAGAAATCACCAGATAACCATTTTTTGGCATTCCCTTGGAAAAATAACCAAACCACATTTGTTGGAAGCGTTTAATGGTTGAGAGAATCCAGAGCTTAATGCTTAACAGCGCTTAATTTGCCTGATATTTGACGAGATCAACTGTGGGTGATGGGAAACTGGCGATGACATTCAACGATGCCATTTTGGGAAAAATTCAAAGTTTGAAATCAACCACAAATAGTCTTGAGTTCTGCTCTCCTCTGTCTACGATGCGCCATATGGCACAAGCAGGTCCGGAGCTAACGCAATTCGCAGCCCGTGTGCTCACCATGCAAAGCTTCCCCACTGCGCATCCTCTACGCGATATTCCATCTTTCTTTTTACCATAACCGCACAGAATTCTATTGTTTTCTCTTTGTAGCAGAAAGTTACGCACAATTCCTCGTTGTTGCCACTGAAATCTAGAAGAAAACACACCCACAAACGCACTGCGAGGATCTACTTCACATGTTTGGTCTTTTTTACGCACTGCCTTTATATGAGCAACAGTTACACAGACACAGCTCCGGATCTGAGAAGTCTCAAGTTCGACCCCTGGTAATAATAACCAGCTCCTCCTGTCCGAGGATCCGTGAGTAAAACATCTCAACAAAAAAAACCTGTCACCGTTTAAGAACAGACCCGCTCCGCGTCCTGGTCAGAGAGATTTCGGGTAAAAACCTGTGCGAGGAGTAAATATCTCCAGTCTGGTTCAAAACGGGAAACATTTCATATAAGGAAGAGGAGAAATATTCTTCCCGTGTCTTACCTGCTTTCATGCGGTCATGCTGGTGGTGTCTCTCGGTCCGCTTCATCGCACCGCGGCTGCATGTCTGGGGACATGCTTCTGGAGACGGGCTGTGGAGACGAGGAGCGCCTCGGCTGTGCGAGGCAGAGTGGGGGAGGAGGTGGGGGAGGAGGTATGTGTGTGGATGTGAGAAAGAGAGATAAGGGAAGGGGGAGAGAGAGAGAGAGAGCAATAAGAAGTAGGCAGGCACTTTCTTTGACGCTAATGATTCGTCGTTATTTGCCTTTTTAGATTCAGGGAGAAAACCAGCTCCAGCGTCTGACCACGAGGGCAGCAACACGTGATTTCATTTCAAATATAAAAACATTCGCTTCTTATCTTTATCTATTCCTCAATGCGTCAATTAAACCACACAGGACCGGACCCGCAGTGCTCGAAGAGAATCCTCTCATTTTGCTCGTTAGGAATTGGTCAAAGTGCGCACTTTAAAGAAAAACACATATATTTAATGTTTAGAGCTCAAGTTCATTCATGCTCTCGAACTTGCTTCACAAAAACAACGCGTTCCCATTCAGAAAGGAAAGGTGCGAGCTTTACGCAGCTTTACGCGCAGTTTACGGTTTCAGCACCGAGGAGAGCGCAAACCTGAGGAGGGGGCGTGCCCCAGGAGTCACCTCTGACAGACTTAATAACCGACCATGTTCATACTTCACGTTTTACATGAAGAGTAAACTCATCCTCTCCCCACAGACAGAGCTGCGCAGCATCTCCGCCGAAAAAATGTGCAAATATAATGTCGATTCTTAGAAAATCCCATTTCCAGTGAAACAAGGGGGGGAGGGAGTGAGCTGGGGGTTGGACCCGCCAGCAGGAGGGAAGGCAAATCATTTTCTGAATATCTTGGAGCACGACAGAATGAATCACCAAACATTTACGCTCAATTAAACACATTTGTTGTAACAGACTCTGAATGAAAACAAAGAAGAAGAAGAATTTGAATTTATGTTTCAACACAGCCCAGGATCTGTTCCTCTCTCCTTTTTCTTTCCCCGCACATGAACCCAGTCCCTGTTGATGAACACACGACAGGGAGGACCTGCTCTTCCTCAGGCTCTACACATTGTGTATGTAGGCCTCCGCTCTGTGAGGACGGCTCCTATTATCATGACTGATTTGCACTTATTGAGATTTACCCGCTTTAAGTCTTGTTTGACAGGAGAACTCTTGTGTGATGTATTACGACACTGCTTTGGAAAAGCGGGCTGCCTGGTATTAAAAGGCTTAGTGTGATTAGACATCATTCGATTTATTTTTTTTAAAACCTGTCAGAGGGAAAAGATTGTTTGTGAAAATAAAGAGAGGATGGGAATGTTTTACTGACATCTACTGGGGGAAGCAATCTGCCCAAAACAGGAGGCCGAGTTAAAGCCAGTTTCCAAACCAATCAGGCCTCTTCCTCCGGGTCCGCTCACCACACTGATGTGCAGGTAACAACAACTCTGTTTTAATGACTACCCTTCTCACGAGAAAGAGAAAAAAACATCCACTGCAGTTTCCTCGTCTGTGCCGTCGCTCCACATTTCATCCCATCACTGCCGAGACTTTTCAAATCCAGAAAGCGAAGCCATTATGCACAGTGTGAACGGTGCCATCCTGAACTTTGACTGTCAATTAAAATGCATCAACTGGCTCAGGTTCGAGTTTGGGAAACGCACGCGAACTGTACTTGAATTATTTAACAATATGGCTCCTGTAGGAACGCATGCATACAAAGCAGAGCAGGGCTCTGAGAAGAAAGTGAAGATGGAGGAGAGTCTCCGTCTCATCTGATGACGGATGTCACGCAGTTTTACATATTTTAACTTGGACACAAGAAACAATGTGTTGATGGATCATGTGAATGTTCCAGGTACCGTGACACAACAATAGCACTCGTATGTTCTCTTGACTGAATCACACCTGATGGCTTGAGCCAACAAACATGCTGGGTGACAGTCACAACACCCACCGCATGCTAAAGTTATTCATTCTGAAACACATGACTCACAGGATGTGCACACATGCTGCTCATTACTCCTGTGTGTGTGTGTGTGTGTGTGTGAGTGTGTGTGTGTGTGTGTGTAGACAGGCACCTAAATGGCCAGGGGCGGACCCAGTGCAGCATATGCGTCGTGCCGAGCCTCAAAGGCCTGTCTTGAGTGCACCGCAATTAGTTGAGGAAAATCATAGTTTTTAATGGAGTCGCTCTCGCCGAAGTAAAAAATAAGATGCAGCGAACAAACAAAGTCGTCTAATGTGTCGTCCTGTAAAAGGCAAACGCATCAAAGTGCCGATGGAGTAATTGGATGTAAAAGAAGAATCTTCTTCTGGCAGCAGGGAGCTGTCACGTCATTGACCTGCGTGTACTCTCGTTGTTTCACGTGTTGCCGCTGAAATCTGTTGTGCATTTAGTTCCTGTGCTCAGAGCGAAGAAGCTCGTCGTCTGTGAGACATTTGTGTTTATCTGCTTGACGTAAAGTGCTCGAATGTCCTGCAAGCTGTAGCTTTCATAGTAAAACAAAAAGAAAAAAACCAATATTCATATTTCATTTGGACTTCTAACTTTCTATTGACGGAATTAAACAGTAATGAAACGGTTCAACACATAAAATGGGTTTCAACACAAAGTAAGGAAGACTTTACACTTCTTTTTTTAAAACCTCTGAAACATAGATATCCTTGAAAGGTCATTTTGATCCATTCTGTAAAAGTTGAGAAAACAAACACTCACTGACATTTTTTATTTTTATAAAACTGTGTGATTGCAAAGGTTACAGGTACAGAACAGTTATAAATAGCCTCATTCACTAGAGCAAGTGAAAGTGCAACAGGTCCTGGACTTTAAGTGCATGCATTGATTCGTCTTCGTGGCCAAATGGTATTTTTCTTTCTTCCATCTTGATGTGATTCCTCTTCTCCGAGCTCTTACAGTTAAAATACTGATTAACTTCCATTTATAACTGCTTCACTTTGTTTAAATGCTGCCTTCTGCAGTCAGTGGAAACCTGCCGCAGTCGAGTGCATATCGATTGATTGGACCGTCAGTCAATGTGAGCGGCTTTCGAAAGACCTCAAAAAAAAGAAAAAAGCCACAGGTGAATGAAATAATTCTCTTGTTGCCTCGAAGCAGCTCTTTGCCCTGGAGTCATTTGTAAAGTCTTGTGAGGTGGGGGGGGGGTCACTTTGATCGCTTGATTAGAATAGTCAGGGTGGTCCAGCAGAATTAAAACGATTTCTAAAAATGAACTTTGGATCTTTGGATCTTTAAATCTTAAAATTGAAACATAAAAATTCAAACTTGTTCTGATATTCCCAAATGAAGGCGAGTGAAGTCTTAGAATATCCTCGTTCATTAATTTACTTCACGCGTGGAAAGAGACGCGTCGATGAAACTTCCACCGCCCATGCACTTACCTCCCTGTGTCCTTTACGTCGGCATGAAAGAATGCATCCACTAGGGGGCGGTGCAGAGTTGAGACAGCAACAAATATGGCGACTGTGGAGGTGGAAGAGGCAGAAGTGCCCATGTTATAAACTTCTTAAAAGTTGATCAACTTGCTTGAACTATCGGCTACACTGCCCCCTATGGTGTCTGGTGGCACTGCTCCAGTTTGTCTGTATCCATCAGCTTTCTGAAGACAGATGAAATGAACGCAGAGTAATTTAACATTGAGCTTGAATGAGCTTTAATAAGAACTTTAATATGTAGAAATCCAGGACGTGTCGTGTCAACAGGTAAAGGAACTGGACTGGGACCAGTTTGTCACAATCTGGTTTGGAAGGTTAACGACGAGCGGCTCCTGCAAACCTCTGGGAGCCACCAGAACAGAAGAGGAGAGGCCGCAGCAGAAATACATGATACACAAATCAATAGAGAGGAAGGCAATTTACTGCATCTGCATCCAGGGAACAGGTCAAACTACTGTCACAACAATTTGAGGCGCGGGCCACTCGCCTTTAGAAATCAGCACGAGGGGATCGTTTCATCATTTTCTTCATCTCGTGCTTGTTCATTCATTTAAAATGTAGATGTCGCTCAATCCTTCCCCCCGTTTGCTCATTTTGCTTTTGGTCCTGTTCACAGTTCGGCACAACAACGAGTGAGAGCTGTTCTGTGTGCATCAGCGTTTAGAAGTATGTTTTACAACAAATCTGGTGACCTGCCTGTGAGTATTTGCTGAGCTATTCGTCTTTGTATTCTGCATTTCCATTATCATAAGCAAATCCAGCGTTTCAGCAGTATCCAACCGGGACACAGCCTGGATAACACTCCCATGGTTTCCACATTAAAGTGCAACCCAAGTATCTTCTGTATTAAAATCATTAATGTGTAAAGTGTCACTCACTCTACCAAAAAAAAAAACCAAAATGAAAAATCACCCAACTCTGCAGTTCCCCCTTCGCCCCACAGAGAATTTAGCCACTTTTAGCTAATGGTTTTTCATTTTCTGCTCCACAAGATCAGTTCAGTTTCCACAGCAGGCACCAAAAACATCTGATAAACCAAATTTGCACACCGCCTGCCACGCGCCAACATTTCGTAGTTAGCCACTAACAAAGTTAGATATTTCCCCCAGGGGTGGGAGGAGATGAAATTAGAGCTACAAGAGGTTGATATTGTTATTTACATTCATCAGGTGGACTGAAGCAGGTTTGCAAATGGATGTTATCGTCACTTCGAGTTTGCCGCGTGTCGATTTTACGCAAATTATAGTCTCATGTTTGATCTCTTGAGTTTTTCCTTTCTCGAAGTGGCCAGATAATCTAAAACCGCAGCTTTGATCGCTTAGTTCACGTTTGATATTGAACAGTTTAGCTTGAAAGACAAAATCTGCCGAAGCAGTGAAGGGGATGAAGCAGATTTCACTTTTAAATAGACATATTTTCCAGTTGACATATCATCGATGCAACATAGTAACATGTGAGAGCTTCCTGACTCCGCAAGGTCGTGCACCTCATCACGGTCGACAGAGAAAATATTAATCTGCAAGTATTGATTGAGCTGTCGTGTACTTTTTTAGGTGGATTTTCATTTGAAGCTCACATTTTCTCTCCGTGTAAAGCGAGTG